AAACTGGTGGTAAATGAGTTGATCAAACAGGAGTCTTGTGGACCATTTCTATTACTTCTAAAAGTCTGGACACAATTATGGAAAGAACTGCCTACTTATCAATAGATACAAAAATACTTTAGATTTTAATATAGCATCATACTTTCAATCAAAACCTTAAGGATGAAGCTATTATCTGAGATTAAATCAATGCAAGAGTGTCAAGAGGAGTTTGCTATCCACTAGTTTTAAACTGAGGCTTCCCAGGTGGCTCAGTAGTAAAAAAAAATCCTCCTGCCAATGCAGGGAATGTGGGTTTGAGCCCTGTGCTGGGAAGATCCCCTGGAGAAGAAAATAGCAACCCACCCTAGTATTCTTACCTGGGAAATCCCGTGGATAGAGGAGCCTGGAAGGCTACAGTACACCCGGTTGCAGACTTGGACACGACTGAGCGACTAAGCATGCACACCTTTTAATTTTGCATTCTGTTAATATTATTGCCAAGTATTAGGATAAAATGAAAATTTAAAAACGTGCTGAAATATAATACAGGTGAAAAATGATGAGAACACAAAAAGCTTAAGGATAAATTTAATTTGTCATGTACTTAACACTGACATGAGACATAATTTTTCACTTGTCATGATGTCAGTTCGAGCCTTGCTGCTCTCTTGTGCACAACAAAAGTGACATGGCAGTGGAGAGAGAAAAGTGGAAGTGCAAATGATGATGAATTGTACCACATGTAATTTATATATCCAAGGTTTATGCTTTGTATGCCTTGGAAGGTAAGAACACAGCAGAAGACAGATCATGAGAAGGGACAGTCGGGTTACACTGCTTTGTGTGTTTATTTTTTCAAGTCCATTGTCGACCCTTAAAATAAGCATAGCAGATTTACAATTTTAATCCTAGAATTGTGGTAAAATCAACTCTTAAACTACAGAAAGGATATCTTAATAGCATAAAAGTTATTGAAGATTTTGACATGGCTGGAAAGTCAAAGCAAACTTCCCATCATTGTGTCTCCTTTTCGGTTGTTTTTAGACTTGCTGCTCCTGAGTCTCCCTGGGAAGACAGATACCTTGGGAGCAACCTTCATAGATTAAGGGACAGCTAGGAAATAGGCCTAGAGAAGCAAAAATTGCAGGGAAAATGAAAGCTGATTGGAAAGTGATATGACTGAGAGGATGATGGTAGTGTAGGTACCAGATACAGATGACAGAAAGGCTACTGTGTAAGTGGTGATGGTACTGGTGCCACCGGGGACGAGATCAAGCAAACAGGATATGACGGTGGCTGCAGGAATGAAAGTAAAAACACAGGGTTAGAAGTCAACCATGGAACAGTAGTACATGTTCTTTGAGTTCAAACTGCATGTCGGTGTTGTGGCAAATACTTTACCTCCACTGTTTCTCTTAATCCTCATGTTAACCTTGCGAAGCTGGTATTATTATTAACCTAATTTCACTGATGAAAATAAATGGTACAATTATGATAAAACGGACATGAACTTGGGCACACTCCAGCAGATGGTGAGGGACAAGGAAGCCTGGCGTGGGGCAGTCCACGGGGTCTCGAAGAGTCAGACACAGCTAAGTGACTGAACAACAACAAAAACTGATACCTTGCAGAATTTGGTTTAGAATCCAGGTGGTCCAATTTCGGGGCGGGCATGCTTAACCACGGTGCTATATTCTTTCATAGTTTAAAATTGTAGTGTATGGGTAATGCAATCACTGTTTGTCTACATGGTACGTTTTCAAAATAATTTTATTTAGTTGTGCTGTTTGGGCTTCTCGCTGCGGTGGCTCCTCTTGTTTCAGAGCACAGTTTCCTGGGCTCTAGAGCACAAGCTCAATAGTTGTGGCACATGGACTTCGTTCCTCTGTGGCACATGGGATCTTCCCGGACCAGCGATCAAACCTGCATCTCCTGCTTTGGCAGGTGGATTCTTTAACACCGAGGCACCAGAGAAACGCTATATGATAGTTTTAATACAAGTTAGAAAAGACCAAAGGGCCCTGCCCACCACCGAGGGAAACACAGACTCACAGCTTAAGTTTAGAGGGCAACTGGCACCTTTGATCAAGGAAATAGGTTTCCTTCCTTTAAGTAATGACAGCCCTTGCAAGCGCACCTGCTTTGGATATCAGTTCTACTGACCTCCTCAGCGAGGCATTTTATTGTGCACAGACTTTACAACTACATGAAGGGGTTTTAAAAAATGTGCATTTTATTTTTACCAGTTAAGTTTTATTCACAAGCACTCTGCACAGATATTCCCTGTTCCCTTCTCCACTCTGCTCTGTGTTCGGGAAGGCTGACCTTTATGGGCCCCATTAATGGGCTTCCTTGCCTTCTGGCTTCCAGTTAGCTTCATCCAATGGGAGGTTACCAGCCAGAAGTCTGGAGGAAGGAGAAGAGTGAGGCTGGGGTATTTTCTACCTTGTTTGCCTCCCTATTGAGCCAGAAGCTTGGGTCCTCTCCTAAGGTCTCAGCTTCTCAGACAGCTTTCATTTCCATAGCTTCACAGAGAATTCTGTCTCCAGGTTCTGGTGGCCACTTCTTGTAGCCCTTCTAGCCTGGAAGGGATGCAAAGGTCCCTTCTGTTGTTAAGTCTTCAGAAGCTTCATCATTCCGTGGTCACTCCCTTACTCTGCCCACCCTTCTGTAAATAGTCCCTGAATTAAACTCGTCTCAATTTCCCTGTATGAGTGAGCCATCTGTTTTTTGCCAGGGCCCTGACTGATACACTGTGAAAACAAACCTTGACTATTTTAAGTGAAAATAGAAATTGGGGAAAGCATGTTAGGAGTCACAGAAAGGCATGGAGGTAGGAAGATCAGGGTTGGAGAATAAGCAGGAACCCAGGGACCTCTGGAAAGCTGAAGAGCAGAAATGACACTGAAGTCATTCAGTCGGAGGAGCCTAGGCCACCCTCTGCCACTGCTTGTAGGCCCACCAAATGTCCCTGTGTCCTTCAGCCACCAACTCAAGGAGAAGGCCTGCTTGCCCGAGTCTGCGTGACACATCCCCATGTTAAGCTGGGCAGTGGAGAGTGGGCATCAGGCCCCTTTGGCTATTGTGATAGGAAATGGACTCTACTACTCACCAAGACCACAACCAACAGTTGAGTCCTTTAAAGAAAGGAATCAGGAGATGCTAATAGCAAGTACCACGCCCCAAACAAGGACAAACATAACTATAAACATAAAATAGTGTGAAACTGCCTCAACAATAAGAGCATCTAAAGCACCTTTTCCCAAAAGATGAAGCTTCATGCAGAGACAGGCACTTCTCAACAAATTCCTCAGCAGAGAAGGACCATATCTAATGTTCTTATACATGAAAAATCTTTATAAGGTTTTAACCTGGGCGAGATATAAAGTTGCCTGTTACATCTTAACAAGGTGTCCACATTGCCCCTTTCTTAGAAGCATCCTTTCAGTGGATTGTCTGCCCAAAAACCAGCCATTCACAAACCAGGAGGTTCAGATACCAGTAACTACAAATCAACTTATTGCTAGGAATTAATTAATCATATCAACTTGGGGCTAGAAATCGGCCCCAACAATTAAAAAAAAAAATCTGTAACTTTCTTAAAGGTAATTCTTTATTTCTACCACCACTATTGAAAATGTAACAAAAAAGAATATAGGTTTTACTGTGAACTCAAAACAAACAGCTTATTGAAGAAGTTGAAAGATAATACTCTTTTATTATATTTGTTGACTGTTGTATTTATAGTTCACACAATTACTAAATCTAGCATAAAATTTAGATATTTATATTTATAGCCCTCTGGAACCGCATTTTATCTCATCTTCAAAATTAACTTACTTCACAAATACAGAGCTGAAGAGTTATAAATTTGAACATGCATTTTACTCATCATGAAAGAGCAATACACATCCATAATTGCCCCCCAGAGGTTTCTTTATATAGTTACTGTTATCAGTAAGAGGAAATTATTTGTCTTCAAAATAAAAGTACATTGGCACAATGCCAATAATTTTTAATTGAGAATATGTATTCTGTTAAATTAGGTTTGTCGGTTGTATATATAGACATTTTAATTTTCAAAACATTAATTTACTAAATAAATGTGGAGTAAGCAGAACACTGTCCAGGCCAATGAGAAGATTTCCAGAGCTGCCAGTGAGGTGATTTTCTTTAGCATGACACGTGATAAAAAATTGAGATGGGCTTTTACGATACTGTTATGCCTGATGTCCGAATCCCTGATCGGTAAGAGAGAAGCCCTCCAAGACAATGCAACTCGAAAAAAGGGAAGTTTACTCAAGTCAGGGCTCCTGCCACGTCCAACGCAGCGGTGCGGGGTCAGAGAGCCCTGAGCCCAAGATGTTATACAAATTTATAGGGTGAGCATATAAGGAGTTGGTAGCTGGCTTAAGCGGATTGGTTACATGTTTGCAAAGCAATTTCATTGGTCCAAACTTTCGCAGGCTTTATTCAAACTTGGGCGTTCGCGGGTTTTTCAGCTTTCTCCTGATAGCTTCGCTTTTTCTTACTGGGCGCATGTTGATTGGCTGGCTCCAGGTGGCCTGATGGGGGTAGGGAATCTTACCATTTTGGGGGAAACCGAAACTTAGGTCCGGGCTGCCTGTCACGGTGTTAGCCCTGGCAGCCTCACAATACAATGGGTATTTAAGATTTTAATTCAAGATGTAACTTGTTTCTTATGCTCATAGGTCTTACATGCTCTTGTGTAGATGATATACATATAAAAAACAGTAAAAAGTAGAAAAGATCTACAGTTTTTCTGTGATTATGTTGTCAATCCAATACTCCTATAACATGTCATCTTATAAAGCAAACATGAATGCTACTGCTCTGAACATGTATAAATTTAATGGCCTACAATACTTACTAGTCGCCTGGTGGAGACAAGGAAGAAAGTAGATTGAGCCCTTCTTTTCAAGGAAGTGATAACATCTACGAATCTTTCTCTTCCAATTTGAAGAACGTGCATCTTCCCCTAACACAGCCGTTGCTCTTTAAAGCCAATGAGCAGATCTTTCCAAATAAATTGGTAGGCTGTCAGCTGTTTTAATAAGCAATATCTGAAGAATCAAATCACTAGGTATGATGCAGTGATTAATGTGGCTCGGTATGCTGGATACCTGGAAGTTCATGGCCAAGAAGAAGCTATTGCCTTTCACTGGCTTCTCACAGTCTGTACTGCCCATGTCTAGACTGGGATGTAGAAAAGAGGCTGGTCCACTCAGCCTCCTGGCTTCTCTGACTGCACGTGCTTCCTGCAAATAAGTGGAAATGGGGCCACAATTCTCCTCTGTCAGGACATGGTCAGCATAAGTGGGAATACCAACTGGTAGGCATGTAACATGTAGTGGGTTCCTAGTCCCGCGCTCCTTTCTCTGCTGGATCAGGTGGCAGTTGACAGAAAAAGGAATATCCTGAAAGTTCATTTGCTATTTGCAGGTCAGGGAATACGACTGGACTAGGAGAATGGTCTGCTGCTGCTTTAGAGAATATTTCATAGGCATTTTGAGGACGCTGATTTTCTAGGAAGGAAAAGCTCTGATTTCTGGACTACAGTGTATAAAAAAGTTATTGCCAAATCCACCATGGACCTGTCATTTCCAAATTTTGGGGATGGGGGAGGGAGGAAGGGCCATATATTGTGATGGTAGGGCTCAGCTGTCTTATTTATCTTACTGCCTGATATATGGCAGCCATTAACTAAATATTTCTTAAGTAAATGAATAAATAAATGAGCAGTAGAATTTTTTATGGCAGTGGCAGACAAATTCATTTTGAAGAATTTTTCTGGGTCTTTGTGGTTAACAACCTAAAGGGAGACAGTAGAGAGTGATTCTTTAAAATGCAGCTAAATTTTGCTTAAGTAAAACCATAATATGAAAATCTGAGTTCACAAAACAAAAGGAGACTATATGCTTCACAATTACATGGATATATGCTTTAATGCAGGGGGTGTTCCTAAATGCTGGCTTTTAGTGTGGTGTTAATGCTGGTGTTTTCTCAGGTTCACTCTGAAAGAAGAAAAATCAGTTCAATGCATTGTTCTAAAGAACTGTTCTTCATTCACACACTGACCTTCCTCCATTTCTGTGGTTAAAATACTTAAAAAAGCAAAATAAAATAATGAAGCTAGTCTATACTTCCGGTTATTTATTTTCTTTCAACGCTCTTTGTTGTTGCTGTTTTACTGGCTAAGTTGTGCTCAACTCTTTTGTGACACCGTGGATTGTAGCCTGCCAGGCTCCTCTGTTCTTGGGATTTCCTGGGCAAGAATACTGAAGTGGGTTGCCACTGTCTTCTCTGGGGGATTTCCCCAGGCCAAGGACCAAACTGGCATCTCCTGTGACTCCCGCATTGGTAGGGGGATTCTTTACCACTGAGCCACCTGGGAAGCCCTCTAATGCTCTTACTTGGCAAATAAAGTTGACAACCCTACACTGGTTCTCTAGTATTTTAAAAAACTACTTCATTGGTTTCTGAAATCCAAGTAAGATTCATTTTGTAAAAGCATACAGCATTCTTAAAGAAACCTACATATTGAATAAAGGAAGACAGTATAAGCTGGGATTTAATTACTGAAGAAAATAGCAGCTGACAGGTTTGAGTGACTACTCTGTGTTGAGCACTGCTTTCAGGGTTTTTAAAAATGTATTTATCATCTAAATTTCAGAGTAGCCCACGGAAGAAACATTATTTTTATCTCCATTTCACAGATAAGGGACTCTAGACAAACAGCCTAGTCCTTGCCCCCAAAGACACAAACTATATCCGGCAAAAGAGTAGAAGGGCTTCCCAAGTGGTTCAGTGCATAAAGAACCCTCCTGCAATGCAGGAGATGTGGGTTTGAGCCCTGGTCAGAAAGATCGCCTGGAGGAGGGAATGGCAACCGACTCCAGCGTTTTCTCCTGGAGAATGCCTTGGATAGAGCGGTGCTCTTACCTTATAAGGAAATTGAGCCAGTTGACTCTGCAGCCAATACAAAAACATCGCTTGTTAATGTCATCTAATGATTATGGAAATGAAGGTTCAATCAGCATACAGATTATAATCTCCTATCCAAGACTCCTAGTAATTGACATTTAAATCAGAGTCGCTCCCATTGTTAATTTATCAACAAAATTCTTGACCTATTTTCAGCTTCAGTATTTACATAGGTATTGCTTCAAGCAACATCCAAATTGCTTAGGGAAGTGAAGTCATTCATTCGTGCCGGACTCTTTGCGACCCCATGGACAGTAGCCTGCACCAAGCTCCTCCATCCATGGGATTTTCTAGGCAAGAGTACTGGAGTGGGTTGCCATTTCCTTGTTTCTTAAGCTCTGTTTTATTAACAAATAACAGAAAACAGAACAAGAAAATGTTTTCAGTGGGGCATTTCAACCAAGTAACGGTCCGTGAAAGCACAATACTGGTGAATCTAGTTATCAGGATTAAGTAAATTAAGTAAACTCCAACCTTACGGCGAACAAATCAAAAAGTTATATTCCAGTTCATTCATTAAAAAAATAAAACACCCATCTTCCAAATGCTTAAAAAAAATTAAACTTCAGCTTAAAAAAAGGCATTAAAATAAATTTAAAAACTGTTAATATTCTAATAATATTCATCTCAACAGGTTCTTACTTAAAATGATATCGCAAACTTTAGTCGGAACTCACATATTCCTCTGCAGTCAGAAATCCAAATATAACAATACAAAGAGGTAAATTAGGATGCAATATCCACAATAAATGAAAAGCAAAACTGATCAAACTAGACTTTTTGAACACAATGCCAAACTTTTCTTTCCCCTAATTATCAGCAAACTGAAGGGCAAAAATTTTTGCTTTCAAAATGTATCATACTCTTGTAATGGACAAAATGATTTGGCAGGTTAAGGTTAGGTTTCTATCATTCTATTTTCTATTTAACACCATTTACCAAAATACTGCACTTCGTTAAGGGAGTTGTTATTTCAATAGCAACGAAATACAAATTTTAATACTAGTAAGTTCTAGGTCTCTTAGACAATAGTGAATCAAGAGCTTACGTAGTTAAAGGAAATTTTATGGACTTCCATCCCTCAATCCCGACAGCTGGAGTGTGCACATCCAATCCGAATACCTTGTTAGGCATACAGGACTCTACTTTCTGACACTGCATATATTAATAACTCCTGCACAAACTCTCACCTTGCTGGCTTCTGGTCAAGTACCCATCCCTAGTCCACTTGCTCTAGAAAAACACAGGAACCAGTTTCAGGACACGGTTACCCACCTAGCACCCTACGCTGCACCCCGAGACTACCCTCCTCCCGCTCTAGCCCAGCCCGGCCAGCTCGGCCCAGCCAAGCGGAGCCGAACACTGCCTACTACAGTTCGGCTCCGGGTCTCGGAAATTCCCCCGCCCACTCCTTCCGCGTGAACAGGACCCTGCCCCCTCACCCGGCGCTCCACCAATCAGCAGCCCCCTTAACCAGGATCCGTTCCCCAACGCTCCCCTTTCAAAAAGTCAGCTTACTCCTCCCGCCTCAGTCCCGCCCCTTTCCTACCTCTCAGCCCCGCTGGCCCCTCCCATCTCCCCAAATCCCGGTTCCCTTCCTCCTCTCTCGTTACCCCCTCCCGCTCTCAGGCTTCGTCCCACCCCACCCGGGAAAGCGCGCGCGGTCTCTTCTCGCGAGATTTGAGCGCCCTCCTCCTGCCGCGACCGCCCGCCTCCCCCTCCTGTCCACCCACCGCCCCTTCCCCCAATCTCTCCACTTTCAGGCTCTCCTCCCTCACTCCTCCCCCCTCCACCCTCTGGGCCGGATCTCGTCTCGGAGAGGCGGAGGAGGAAGAGAAGGTGGAGGACGAGGACGTTCGGCATGCGCCGTGAGATGTTTGTACGTCGCCGCCGCCATCGCGGAGGAGCGCGATAAAGGGAGCCGAGCCGGGCGTGAGGGGGGACCAGGGGAGCCGCCGCGCCAGTGCAGTCCCCCAGCCGAGCCCGAGCCGCCGGAGACCGAGCCGCCAGCCCAGGCTGGGGGCCGGGGCCGCGCCGCTGCCGCCCCCAGCGTCGCCCCTCGCCGGCCTGCCCGCCTTAAATGTGACACCGGCGCCTCGGAGTGCGACCCGAAGCCGCCACCGGGGAGGGGACGAGCAGCATGTCGAATCTGAGCAAAGGCACGGGGAGCCGAAGGACACCAAGATGCGGATCCGGGCCTTTCCGGTGAGTCTCTTTTCGGCGCGTGGGACGCCGGGTCGGGGGCCCGGCCGACAACCGAACGCGAGGCCCCGGCTGAACGCCCCTCCCCACCCCCAACAGGCCCCAGGGCCGGCCTTCCATCCCCCACGCCACCGGTCACGGGGTTCGAACCTTCCCGTCAACCGGACGGCGTGGGGCGTCTGAGGCCGGCGCCGCGTCCCCGCCCCGGAGCTGCGCCTCCGGTCGCCCGGCGGGCGTCGGCTGCTGCCTGGGGCCCTTGGCCGGTCTCGGCACTTCGCCGCGCTCCTGGGGTGTAGGCCCAACCCCTTGCACCCCGCTCCTCGCTCCTGCTCGGTCCCCGGGACTCCCGGCCCTGCGAGGACGGGGACCGTCTACGTTCTCTCGGTGTGAGGTGTGTGTGTAACTTTTCAGGTGAGGTTTCGCAGCAGTTGAAAAAAAATCACCATGCCTAAAGGGTGGCCTGCCAAAAGATGCCGGGGACGGACCTCCCGCTCTTCCCTTCCCCGGGAAGAGCTCTGTCGTCCACCTACTCTCGACGCGGTGACAGACGTTCCGCGTAATGCTGTGTAGTAATACACTTAACAACGCCGGTGTGTTTAGAGAATCTTTAATTCGTAACCTTCCAATGCACTTGACAAACTACTGTGCAAGAATAGCCTAGCCACTCAAGGGGAAGTAAGAGAAAACAAATGGGGTGATTGGTTCTTCATTTCCTAGCCATGGAAGCCCAAAAGAATAAGTAATCACCACCGTGAGTTGCTTTACTCTAGGTTTTAGTGACAGCAAAATATTTTTGTTTAGAAACTTTTTTGGCCTTAAATTAAGTCATACCCCTTTGGTGTTAAGTATTATAGGGTATAACTTTGGATGTCATATCTGAATCAGATAGCCAATGGCAAGCAATTAGAGTGTAGTCTTGGGACAGAGAAACTGGGCATACTTGCTCCTGTCGCTTCTGTAACAGGTAGACGTCAAGGTGGACAGACTAGGAATTGAATAGAAGATTTTAAACCAGGACAACTAGAGAAGAAGCTGTGGTTTCCTGTCTTAGAATCACAAGCCCGTTATATTGTGTGGTGGGCGGCGGTGAAGAGAGGGTTTGTAGTCACTTCATAAAGCATGCTTTTTCTAAAGTGTAGTTTTCACTTTAGAGGAAAGATGAATATAATTGTCTTAGTTGAGTAAGAAACCGACCTAGAGAACTTGAAGACCTCCCTGAATTCTAAAAATTTAGAAGGAAAAA